TTTTATTCCGTACATGAGTCGAAAAATCAATATAATGGTGTGTTGCTCACACAAACATGGATAATATGGATATCACCAATAGCCGAGTTGGAGCTGTACCATGTGCTCACTATCTCGGGGCTATATTGGTGAGGGTGAGATCTGTGAATATGAATAAAATGTAGAGAAAATCTCTATCAAGATTTTCGGCAACTAGTTTTCACCTACCTCGGGTGCCTTCTGCACCAAACCAGGGGTTTCTAAAATCTGCTCTTGACGTGGATGTCTTTAGCTTTGTCCACTGGACAATTAGGACACGTGGGTGACGATGGGGAAAATTCAATTCTTGCAATACTCGTGGTGTCAGCAATAGCAATCAAAAGAGATCGAGAATGCAGTGGATCGAGCTTATATAGCCAAAATTGGTAGCATCGAGAGAGAGAGAGCTTTCTATGCTTTCGAGCTGTATTTCTTTCTCATAACAAAAGAACGAATAATTCCAAGGTACCAAAGCCTCTTTTATCGCATACGACAATTTTTATGCCAGAGCTGCGATAAAAGTACTTTAACCTCTCATGTGATTTTAAATGGTGCTTGCAAGGCGACCATTACATTCCTTCGTAGCCGGGTGGCTGCCGTCCTCCTGCTGCTGCTGCAAGGTGAAGGAAGGACTAGTACTGTAGAGTACCAGTATGTTGACAATTAAATTTATGGTAAGAGCTTACTGAGTATTCTAATAATAATAATAACGGCGATGACCGAAGTAATGATTATGAGCAATGGCTCTTTATTCGAGTTAGTAAAAATAGAACGGAATTTAAGGAGTGGACATATAGGTAGCTAACAGAAGCTCACAGCTGCCACGCAAATATGATGTGTTTGCCGTCTGTGCATGAGCGTCTTGCCCTTTGCTAGGTCAGCAGTTTGGCCGGCGCGATGTTGTCAATGTTGATGGTCAACGACTCTGGTCTTGCTGACCACAGTAAACTTGTACACTATTATTCTTTTCGGGAACAATTGCTCGTTGACTTAAGGGGTTATATCCAGTTGCGATTTTGAAAAAATCGAAATTTTTTTTTTGCCTATTTTGAATGTATATATATCTAAGAAGATTGTCTGAAAATTTCAAAGTATTCCGGTAAATAGTATTGGAGTAATCAGTGTATTTGTAAAGACGCCTCCCATGTAGTTCAACTAGTAGCCAAAACTTTAAGTGCGTTTTTCTCGAAACTATGTCTTCAAAGTCGGTGAGGAAAATTTCTCCGAGACGGCTTTTCCGATTGACTTGAAACTTTCACATTCTCTTCTTAGATATTTTTTTCAGGTAATGAGACTTTGAATTTTGGCTCCGACAAAAATTTCGATTTTTTTAGCCACTTCAAAGTTGAAATTTTTGTGCCAAAAACAAAGTTTTATGTTTGGGAAGCCGCCATTTTGTCAAAAATCAAAATTTTGAAAATCCCAAGTCTCATTACCAGCATTTGTCTATTCTTTACGTAATCCTTCTGGTTTTTTGTATTTCTGATCATTTGGACCGGAGATACTTTCCTCACCGCAAAACCCTTTTTTGAAGTGGACCCTCGGGAGATCCTCTACAGGACCGACGGAGTCCAAATTTTTTTTTTTTTAAATGTATTCTAAAACTAGAAAAAATTATCTCTCTTTTCGTATATAACACGTATACATACAATAAATAGCCTCTCCAAAAATAATTTTCAAAAAAGGTCATTTTTTTGGCCTCGCAACTGGATATAACCCATTAACCCATTAACCAAGCATAATTCTGTTAATTAAATAAGAGCTAATTGAGAGTCTACATATCGGAAAAAGTCGTTGGTAAGAGTAATTAATCCAGATGTACCATCAACTGGGACTTGCATCGTAGTTGTGTAGCACTTTTATCATTTTGAAGTTGAACTCTCATATAAGTGGTTGGCGATAATGTTTTTACGTTATTCAATAAAGGAGATGCCTTTAGGCAAGCATTCAATTCATCTGCAGGCGTTCCACGAGAATTACTGGTAACGTCTACCTGAAATCACCTGCCAATAATATCATCAAGCCGCCAAAGATGTTATTTCGCCAAAGATCTTTCAGTGTAAAGTTAAGTGTGTAACGAACTGGTTTTTTATCTTCGCTCGCTACGTAAACGTGCGGCTAGCTCAGTTGAGTTTGTGTGTTCATCCCACCAAATTGATTGTAGCGTGACCCCGAAACCAATGAAGTACGCAGCAGTTCGGTTAGATTTAGAATTATACGATGAGTTTATTATTTGTAGATTTACAACTTGGTATTTGATTTGTGGCTCTGCTGTCTGACGACTCGATCTCCCTCGTTGACGCCGGTAATGGCTCCCGCGTCGACTCCTGCGGCGGCACGCCTGTCCTGCGTCCTCTGCCTTGCCGAGTTTTCGGGCACCGCACAGTGGGCGATTTGGTCTCGCTAGCGGCATTTAATTAATAACTTCTAAACTAAAATAGATATCTTCAGTCGGTTTTTTTCACCGATCAAAGAAAAATCATACAATTTTTTAAGTTAAAAAAAGTTTTTTTTTTAATACTTTTTTATTTTTTTTTTAATTTAAAAAAAAAATATTTTTAATTTTAAATTTTGTTTTATTTTTATGTTTTTTAAACTTCAATTAATATATTCCATAAACAAACATAATTTAAAAATGGCTAGAATTTTATTCAGAATCATCGGAATCAGACGGCGGCATAGTAAAAATACTAAAATATACTAAAAAAGATCCCTTTTTGCTACTGACATTGTGCCTTAAAAGTACCATAGTTTGAAGGCTAACAGGTACTAGCAGTTCATATTACACACATTGGACGCCACTGATCCACACTTTCGGCTAATAAAGGAGTTAGACTGAATCCACTTGAATCAGGTAGGTTCTTCTCCACGAAAGACAGGTGTACGCTAATCTGGGCTCGTTGTTAATACACTGAATTGCCACTACGTTTTATGAGCTACACATTTATAGACCGGTCACAAACATTAATTTTTTTTGTAATGCATACCTTGAAATTAATAAAAAACCAAACTTTTAATAAATTCACTAAAAATTGTAAATTTCCGAGGAACTTGAATTTGATGCGCGCAAACAGGTAAAATTTTGTAAAGTTCTTTGCAAAATCATTTTCTGTGTTTGTCCGTTCACAGCTGATGATCAGCTCATCGTAGAGCTTTTAAAATGCTTGGATAAATCTAATCAAAGTATCTATTATCGAATTGTGAAAAAAAAATCATCGCTTTTTGAAAGTTGAAATTTGAATTAAATGCCGCTAGCGAGACCAAATCGCCCACTGTGCACCGGTCGCGTACTAGTCTCGCTACGAGTCTCTCACAACCTTGGAGGATGTTAAGCAGAACCTTTCTAGCGGGGATAAGCAGTGATGCCTGCAGTCACCAGTCTTCGCTCCACCCCGGAGTTCGGTCGGGGCTTCGTCGGCCTGGCCCTCGGCAGGTCCTCACTCTCGTGTGGACCGACACCGGGTACCTTTCGCACAACTCCACTGGATCTTCGTCGGCCTGGCCCTCAGCAGGTCCTCACTCTTTCATGTGAACCGACGCCGAGTACCTTTCGCACAACATCCACTGCCGAGACTCCACCAACTTCGTCGATTTCGAGACTCGTAGACGCACCCTACAACTTACCTTGTACCCTCAGGATCTCAGCTTGGCAGTCTCAGCTTATGTAGACGTGACCGTCGTTGGGTTTCACTCGGGTTGGTACGATCTCGTTGCACGACTTTCACTTGGCTGTCTCGACTGCCCCCCATCGGTGGCGTGATCGGGTCCAAAGTGCAGGACAAGTGGCGTGATCGGGTCCAAAGTCCAGGACAAGTCCCGTTAGTTCACGGTCTCTCCTCTTCGTGCTGGTCCAAAGTCCGCCAACTTCACCGTTATAACAGGTAAAAAGTCCAGAACTTCACCGTTATAACGGGTACAAAGTCCGCCGCGGTACCGTTAATTCACGGTCTCTCCTCTTTGCGCGGGTCCGAAGTCCGCAGACTCGCTGTTGTTGGGTCCAAAATCTGCAAACTCACCGCAGCATTGAGTCCAAAATCCTGAGAGCCGTTACATCCCTTTTTCCCCTGCATACAGCGTCTCCCGCTGTTGCTATGCAGCTCCCCTGCACTGAAAATTGTGAGGAGTTTTACAACTCCTTACATCTCCCCCTTCCTTCGGAAACTTTTAAAAGCTTCGGGCTCCGGAATCTCCTGGGGAAAACGTCCTCGAATTCCATCCTTCCCACGTCGACCTTCAACTCCTGAGTGCGGCCAAGGGCCTCTTGGATCTCAGCCGGACAGTCTCAGCTTAATAGACCCTACCTGGTATTTCGGCATCTTGACTGTGGCATCTCGACCCCACATGGCTCCTTGCGCACACATCCTTCCTCCATCCTTGTGGCCGCTGCAACTCCGCATGCCACTCCTTCGTCGACCTCCTCTTGTCACGACTGAGAGCTCCTCCAATCTCCGCACCTAAGTCTCAGCTTATGTAGACCTCCCGTCGTTGGGCTTCTTGACTAGGGCATCTTGACTGTCGAAAACTCCCCGCGCGCGACTCCTTCCGATCCTCGTTTTAATTCGAACCGTTTCCCGCGTAGTATTTTCCCCGCGCACAATCGATAACTCCTATTGATCGTGGCGTTGCCACTCCTCAGGGCTGCAGTCAGAATCAGTGTGACCGGCCAGCGATATTTCCAGTATTTTTCGTTCCCATCGCTCGCACTATTGATCGACCGCCGTTATCGAGGCGACCCCATTCCCAATTTCCGCTGGCCTCGTCGTTTTGTTTTGGTAAGTAACTTGCTTTAATCTCGCTCTTCTTTAATTCTCACCATTTTTGCCTTTTTCTTTCAGCATGCACCTTTGCCGGGTCGAGCTGCGGACGCCTCCCCGATGGATATGTGCCGGGGCGCCCACCATGATGCAGCGCGTCCCGGCAGACCGACTTTAGGCACCATATTTTTTTGTGTGTGTTATGGCCGCTTCGTTCCCTCGCTGCACCTGCCTTTCGGCCCCGGCCGAATGGCCGATGGCCATCTCTCGCCTGGCGGCCTCCACCGACACCACCCTTCGCAACGTGGGTCTCCTCGGTGCCTGGGCCTCGGGGCACGACTCCTGGCAGAGCAGCCTCGGCGGTCGTGGCGGCGGCAGCGGCGACGGTGACGGTGATGTTGGTGCCCTCGGCGGTGCCTCCCTTGGCGGCGACGGTGGCCGCGTCTCCCTCGGAAGCGACCCTTTTGGCAGCGGCGGCGGCGACGACGGCGGCGGCCCTTGCGGCATCGGCGGCGACCTCACCCACCTCGGCGGAGGAGGCGGCGGCGATGGTGACGGCGATGTTGGTGCCCTCGGCGGGGCCTCCCTTGGCGGCGACGGTAGCCGCGTCTCCCTCGGCGGCGACCCTTTCGGCAGCGGCGGCGACGGTGGTTGAGATGGTGGCAGTGGTGCGATGGCGGTGACGACGATGTTGGTGACGGCGAGGGTGTCGGCGTCCATAATTCGACCTCCTCGGCCTTTGCCTGCTGGAGTCGCAGCTGCCAGGCCTCCCACGCCGCCACCCTCTCCTGATGTTGCTCCTGCAGCTTACGCAGCGTCGCTGCTGCAGTTGCTGCTGCTGCCCTCGATGAACCTTTGGTCCTTGCTGGGACTTCAGCTGCTGCTGCTGTTGGGAAGTACGTCCGGCCATCTCGATCGAATTTTTGGAAAGACCGAGTCTTCCCACGTGGTTCCCCACGACAGCTCGGTTTCCTCCATTCCGCTACTCTTATTTTGCGGGATCTGTACCGGTAACGGGATCCTTCCCGCCGCTCTCTCTCGGTTTATTAGTGTGTGTGACCCGGTAACTGTGCATGCAGCTGTGTACCCTGCCCTGTCCCGGCAGGGCGCTCGCGCTCCAAAGTTACGTGTGTGTGGGTGGCAATCTTTCGATACTCCGTATCGTCCTCTCCCTTTCTCGCGAAACACACGTACAGTGCGCCCCCCAGTATGACGGTCACCACTATTTTTCCCCACCACTATTTTTCCCCTCGGTTGTGCTCGGCTTCAGCTCGCTAACGTGATCCCTCTTTTCTTTGCCACTCTGGCTGTGCCGTAAATAACAAATTACCGGGGAAATAAAATTAGTGATTGTGAATGGCCCGTCATATCTGGGGGTGTCGTGCCTGAACCTGCCTTCTCCATGTTACGCCTGACGACTTCAAAAACTTTCGAAAGTTTTTGTGCATTTTCCTTTGGTGTTTGTGTCGCCTTTTCGGTCCCGATTGTGTGCTCGTCGAAAAGAGCTTTTGGCAGCCTAGGTTCTCGACCCTGGGTGACGAACGCTGGCGAGTACCCGGTGGGCTCCGCCACACTGGTACTTACCGCCAGCTGTAGTTCTGGCCATTTGTCCTCCCAGGTCCTCTGGTCGGCCCTCGCGAACTGGGCGATCATCGTCTCTACTGTCCTGTTTGCTCTTTCTGTCGGGTTTTCCTGAGGCGTGTATGGTGCAGTGAATTGGTTGTAACGAGTACATCACGGACACTTACTCAGACTAGGTATTGGGGTCGGGGGAGAGGGCGCACGCAGAACTACAAAATCATCCGGCCTCTCGCTCGCCAGCAAATGGGGTGGTATTTATGCCGCCTCCTCCCGAGTTGCCTGTTGTCATTACCTTAATAAAAAAGTCTGCGTGCCGAGGCAAGCGATAAAAAAGGGGTCACAATCATTCGAGCCAAAATCTATCAGAATTACGATGAAAGGCTAGAGTAAGGGACTTCTTTGCATCTGGGGATTTCCTCTGACGCGGCGCGGAACTCCCGGTGTTATTGAGGCCCGATCTGCCCTCCCTACCTTCGGCTGCTCTTGTCCCAAAAACGAATATTTCTTTTGCAGCCCCTACGCGTCAGGGTCTCACGGGGTCATAGGTCTGCTAAAGGTCGACAAAAAGGTTTTTTACACATTATAAAATTTATTTAACAACTAGACAGAAAATCAGTTTTAAGCTTAACATTAAATTTAAAGACAAATAATAATCTACGGACTTCAAGAAAACATATACATATATAATTTAAAATAGTTATAAGTGGGTAAATGAATATAATGGGATATTTTAAAAGAGTCGCCTATTCTTATATTTTACTTCCCTAAGAGAGCATAATTTTTTCTTCATTAAAACTTTGTTTGGGCCAACGGACGAAATCGGATATTATTACATGTAAACAAAAATCAAACATGAGAAAGGGCTACTGAACATATAAACGACCGTCAAACAAGCAAAACGGACATTCAAACGCGCACTCTATATGTTCGAGCTCTATCGAACATCCAAACGAATTTCTTTGGACATCCGGTCGCCTGCGTCTGAAATAATTTTAAGTTCGGTTCCCTAGTCTTTAAGTTACATTACGTCAAGTTTTAAATTAAAAAGTCGGTTTAATTGTGCCCATTGAATTAGGTTCCGCAGTGTGTGGGCTTTTTCCTACTTCCTCTTTTTTTTTGACAAAATATATATGGGGTGATATTCTCTTCCTTTTTGTCTCTTTCTACCTTTCCCTTTTCCTTCTTTAATAATTATTGTTGCAATTCGCACTCACCCGCACTTTTTGGCGTTCCATCGAAGAAAGCGCTTTCCCGAGGATTGTGGTGGCCTGGATATCTAGTGTAAGGGGGCAGAAAGAAATATATACGGAATCGAACTGAAAACTACCCGATCACACTGCACAAAATTTCATCACATCCCTTTTTTTTTACCGATGCGCAAACAAAATTTTCTTCTCTTTGAAAATAACACATAAAAAAACACTAATTCACTATTTATAAGCTGTAAAGAGGGCTCAGAGCTCCTTTCACAAAAAAAAATTCTGTTCGCCACACTTAGATTCACGGATTATGATCACGATCTTGTCTAGAGAAGATATGTACTGGTACCTTCGAACAACTTGGCTGAACTGTGCCGACCGACGCCATCCTTTTGGCGCCTACCCCCAGATACTCTCCCGAGATGGGATAATGACCCAGAACTTGATGACGTTTGGCCCTGTTGCTCTCATTGCCCTTTTCCTTATTGCCATTCCACAGTTCCTCCACCCTTAATGTTAGAGGTTGGTGGCGTCGCTATACGATATAAGCGTTGGCAGATACAAGCGTTACAAAGCCCCCCGCCAAGGATCTGACTTGGGGTTCGACACCCGAAGACGGATCACCCACAAAGCTGGTAGCTGCTCTCTTTATTGCTTCATATCTTTGGCATGGAATCGCCCAAGAATGCGGCCCTGCAAGTCCTTCAATTCGTAGCAGGAATTACCCAATTTTTTTCGGACTCTGGCTTTCAAATACGCTGGACCCAGTTTGCTACTATACCCAGATGCTAAATTTCTCTGCCGGAAATTCTTGAAGAAAACTTCCTGCCCTTCCTGATAGGCTACCTCTCTGGATCGCAGATTATATTGTCGCTCATTTTTTTCCTTTTGCCTTTTTAAGACATCGCAAGCAGACTTCCGGATCAATTCTAACGAATCTTCCCGAGAGAAAACTGCTGATCTGTCCTCCAGGAGTCCCAAGGTCCTCAGCAACTTGTATAATGCTCCAGACGATACGAAATTCTGCCCGAACGTCATATAATATGGACTGGTACCTGTTGCAGAATGAACTGCTGTTTGGAGAGCGCAGCAAATGCTACTGAGATGCTCGTCCCAATCCTTCTGATCTGCCCTGACATAGGAACGTATCGCTGCTATAACCGAACGGTTAACTCTTTCCGAAGCATTTGCCTGGGGCGAATAGGCGGCAGTCAAAGTGTGGGAAATTGAATGTTCCCTTAACAATTTCTGAAAAGCTTCAGCCATGAACTGCGAGCCATTGTCAGAAACAAGGATCTCTGGCACGCCAAAGGTGTGGAACAAATCCTGTTGCAGATACTTGATAACAACATCCGCCGTAAGTTTCTTCACAGCTTTAAGGAACACAAACTTGGAATAATGATCCAGAACTATAAAGATACCTATACTACCGCTGCGAGAACGAGGATATGGGCCAAGAAAATCGATATAGAGTCGTTGGAAAAATCGTTCCGATTCTGGTGCCACGCCCATGGGAGGCCGCTGTGTCCTATTTGGCGGTTTGGTAGACTTGCAGACCTCGCATGACTGTATGTAAGACTTTACATCGTTTACTAACCCTGGCCAGTAATAATATCTTCGAATCCTTTCCAACGTTTTATGAATCCCCCATGGGAAGCAAGGGGATCATCATGATTTTTCTTCATGACTTCTCCGACTAGTCCACTTGGAACCCATAGTTTCCATATGAACGTGTCATGCAGTTGGTCTCCCGTAGCGTGATCGGATCGACGATAAACCAAATTATGTACTACCTTCAAATCAGGCAACTTGTCAGTAATAGCCTTTACCCGCTCAGCCAGTTCCACATATTTTTCTGACTTGAATTCCTGGGAATTAATAAACCCTGCATCGCATCTATAGCGGCTGTCTCTTCTTCATTTACTCTGGATAGGGCATCCGATACGACATTCATCTTCCCACTTCTATGCTCGATCTTGAAATTGAATCCTTGAGTTTCAAAGCCCAGCGAGCTAGGCGAGAATGGAGATCAGTTTGGGACATTAACCACTTAAGGGAGGCATGATCGGTAATTACAGTGAATTCAAGTCCTTCCACATAAGGACGAAACCGCTTGATACAAATTATAGCCGCCAGACATTCCTGTTCTGTCACTGAATAGTTCCTTTGTGCTTTATTTAATTTTTTGGACACAAACGCCAACTTCTGCACCAGTACCCCTCCAACTCCTGACTTGCTTGCATCGCATTGGACATAGAAAGGCCTTGTAAAATCAGGGCTTCGCAGGACTGGGGCAGAACATAGCATTTCCTTCAACGAAACAAACACCTTCTCGCCTTCTGGAGTCATTTGAAATTTTTTTCCTGGCTTCAACAGATCCGTAAGCGGAGCGGCCACCGAGGCAAAATTGCTGATAAATTTACGATACCATCCCACCATGCCCAGGAAACTTCGAAGAGATCTTAAACTTTTGGGTAGTGGAAAGTCTGCCATGGCCGAAATTTTCTCCGGATCAGTACGGATAATACCTTCACCTACGATATGTCCTAAATACTTTACTGATCGCATGCAGAATTTTCTTTTTTCTACATTGAGTGTTAATCCTGCTGCTTTTATTTGATCAGCCACTGCGTCTAATACCTTCATATGAGTTTCGAAAGTATCTGAGACCACCAAAAGATCATCTAAATAGACGAAAACTTCGTTTCTAAGTTCGGGCGGGATTACCTTATCCATCAACCGGGTCATTGTTTGGGATGCGTTAGTTAGTCCGAATGGCATCACCTTATATTGGTACAATGGCTTTCCCGGAATTGTAAAGGCAGTTTTATCTCGAGAATTTATATCTAAAGGAATCTGCCAATATGCATCTTTCAGATCCAAACTTGAGATGTACATGGTTTGGGGAAGTCGAGACAGAATGCCATCAATTTGTGGCAAGGTGTTGCGTGAAAACAACTGGTTAAAAATGGGTCATCCAACGAAGAGAAAAAAGCCTTCCAAAATAAACTTCCGCACACAATAAATCGACTTGCTTGTTCGTTCGTTCCAATTCAAAGAGATCTCTTTTATTAGCAGAGCTGCCAGACATTTGTTGTGGCCACACTCCACTTTTTTGGTAATTTTTAGGGTATTATAATTTAACATTTCCCGCTAAACTTAACATCGGCCGCGTTGAGCGACTGAAGGTCTTCAATTCAAACAATACAATTCAATATGCAATATTAATACAATTCAATGCTTAATACAATTCAATGCTTAATACAATTCAATACTTAATACAATTCAATACTCAATGCAATTCAATAAAGCAAACATGCTATTCTAATGGTAGAGGTGCTAGCTTGTGGATAGCCCGTTTGTATACACCACTCCTTATGCGGACAACTGCAACTCGACCTCTACCATCGCCGCCGACCACTGTCTCTGCAATTCGCCCTATCAGCCACTGCTGAGGGGGCACGTTGTCCTCGTGAACCAGAACTATTTGGCCGATCGCTAAGTTCCTTTCCTCCTTTGTCCATTTTCCTTTTTCTGCAGACTTAGGACGTAATCCTTTGACCACTCGGCCCAAAAGCGCTGCTTGATTGCGCAAATTCGATGTCATCGTTGCAAGTAGGCCAGACTCCCGTCTCCTGTTTGCGTCTCCACCTCGTCTTGTCGCAGCACTGCGCTCCCTATCGCCTTGATAAACAGCGACTTCGCTGACTTCACCGCAGCTTCCCACAGGCCGCCGAAATGGGGAGCACGCGGTGGAATGAAAGCAAAGGCAATTCACTTGGCTGCCGCATCCTTGGCTATTGAATCCCTCGCAGCCACGAACTCCTCCTTGAACTCTGCCAGCATGCGAGCAGCCCCGACAAAATTGGTAGCATTGTCGCAATAGATGGTCTTGACAAGACCACGACGACCTACAAATCTAGAAAGACACATCAGAAATGATTTAGAAGTTAGGTCAGTAACGAGTGAACTGCTTTCGTTGTGAAACAAATAAACACTGCGATATACATTTTCACAGGAGATTTCCCTCTTATCCCCAAAGTTACTGAAATTGGACCAAAGAAATCTACTCCGCTGATCTCAAATGGATCATTTGCAGTCAGTCTTTCAGCGGGTAAATTACCCATTATCTGGGAAGCCAAAACGGGCTTGTATTTGAAACAATGAACACATTTTCGGAAAACAGCTCCACACTCTCTTCTAGCATTTATAAGCCAGACTTGTTGCCGAAGTAAACTAACCAGAACTAGAGCTCCAGCATGACAGTTAGTTAAGTGCAGGTGTTTTATGTATCGCAGAATGAATGTGCAGTCTTTTGGTATGAGTAAGGGAAATTTAGCATGGTGTGGCAACGGTGCATTGAATAATCGCCCTCCTACTCTCAATACCCAATACTTTCGACCCTCCAATTCATGTTGATATAGAAATGGGTTCAACTTTTGAAGAGATGGTTGCAGTAGAAGCGATTTCTGAGTTTTCTCGATTTCCTCTCCGTACATAATGTGCTGCAGGAGGTGTATAATCGCGATAAATGCTGAGTTCAGTTCTTCAGGTGATATCTGAATTGATTCATAAACCACCTTTCGCTCATTTATGTATCGAAGCATATATGCTACAATGCGCAAGATTTTCATATATGATGACGTGTTTTCTATCAATTCAACGATTGGATGAGGTCCCACATCGGCCGCGATTAAGTCTGTGGCAGACTTGCGCTTCTCCAATGCTTGTTGCTCCTCAGAAAGTTCAAAATGAGGGTTAATTGGCCAAGAACTTTGATCGCGCTGCAGGAACGAAGGACCTGTAAACCAAAAGGATGATTTCAGCTCTACAGCTGAGCATCCTCGCGATACCAAATCAGCAGGGCTATCACTTGTTGGGACATGGCGCCAAGAACCTTCTGCTGTCAATTCTTGTACCTCAGCGACCCGATTGGCGACAAAGGTATTCAAAGTAGACGGATGTGTTTTGAGCCAATGCACAGTGGTTGCGTCCATAGGCCAAAAATCAAAAAATCAATTTAAAAATATTAAGTCAAAATTTAAACAAATCAGCTCTAAATTGTCCAAACTTTGCATTGGCAAACCGGTTTTTTCCCGGAATTCTAACGGGACCATCTAAAAATAGAATAGAACCCGTTAATACGTGTTCAAGTTAACAGCACAGCGACGTTAAAGTGGTTTTGGGTCACATCAAACCTAAACTTTAAAGTGGTCAAACGTACGCAAATTATCTCCGAATTGAATTATTTAAAATGGATTTTAAAGTTCAAGGTATTTACTTTAATAAGTTCTTTTACTGAAATTAATTTGAACTTTTTATTATTTGTTAGTGTTTATTTTTAATTAATACTAATTTTCAGGGTATTGTGATCGTCATTTTGACTGTTTAAGTAGAGTTTTAGATATGTTGCCCCCCGATCCCCCCCTTTATAAGTGTTATCAGGGTGTTTGTCAATGTTTTAAGGTAATAAAAATATTAAGGGTAGCTGCTGATATTTGCTGTTTTGTATATAATAATTAAAAATCTGAAGCTCTCTTACCGTTTTCAAGGGCAACTTTTCGACGCAGACTGCTGTTCTTCGTTTGTTTTTATTTTATATTACTTTTATATTACTTTAAATTTATGTTAGTCATCATTTTTTGTTATCTTTTGTTAATTAAAAAAAAAAATTATTTGTTAATAAATATAATTTTTGTCAGTAACACTTTAAAAAAAGTGTAGTGTGCATTTGGGAGTCAAATTTCCTATCGTTCCTATGGAAGCTATAGGATATAGTGGTACGATCCGGTCAATTTTTGTATAATGTATTTATAATATTTTTAAAGATTTTTTGTGAAAGTTTCATAGCGAAAGCACATCTAGAAGTATTTATGGCCGCGGTTCCATACAAGCCCGACCACTGTGCAATGCAAGACAACCTCTGAATCGGACCAGAATAGGATTTGTTCGACTTGAAATTCTAGCAAGGGCTTGAGCTTGGCCCATAAATTTGCTAGTAATTGTGCTGCACACAACTCTAACCGCGGGACTGATTTAGTTTTCAGTGGTGCCACTTTCGATTTGGCTGTAAGGAGCCGAACAATTTTATGCTCTCCCACATCTATCCGTAAATAAAGACAACAGCCATAAGCCCTGGTTGAGGCGTCTGCAAAACCATGGATTTGACACTTGACCTGTGCCTCATACCCTATGTGGCGAGGTATGATTATTGAGTCTAAGCCCTCAAAATCTGCCATAAGGCTGGCTGCAATGCCTTGCAAGTTAGGTGGCAGCAAGTCATCCCAATCTAAACGTTGTAACCAAATTTCCTGAATAAATATCTTTGCTCTCACGATAATCGGACACAGAAGTCCAAGAGGATCATACAATCGAGAAACAAAGGCTAAAATCGTCCTCTTAGTAAATGGTTCTTCTGCATGTAAACCTTCAGCAGAGTATTTAAATTCATCTTTTAATGGATCTCAAATAAGACCTAGTGTCTTAGTCTCATCCTGCTTTCCTACTGCCACAGCTGAATCAAGTGAACTGACATCCTTACAATTCGAGTACCATTTAGTCAGTTCGAATCCATGCTCGCTGAGAACTGACACCAATTCAGAGTGCAATGTCTGTAATTCTTGACTTGTCTCAACACTTGATAATAAATCATCAACGTATAATTCATTGGCTAAAGCTCTAGGGCAACTGGATGGGAAAACTTGTGCTTTTCGCTCAAATACTTCAAACACCGGACAGCTAGAAATGGCGCTGAAGCCGTTCCATAGGTCACTGTTCTGAGTTTGAATATTTGTAGTGGATCTGATGGACGTTCTCTCCAGACAATCAGTTGAAAGTTGTGCTGGGTCTCGTCAATAAGAACTTGATGGTAAATTTTTGCTATATCAGCAGTTACAGCATATCGACGGAATCTAAAACGCAACAATGTTGAATATAATGTTGGTTGAATGGTTGGACCTACCATGAGTAAGTCATTTAAGGAAATTTGAGACGAAGTTTTACTCGAAGCATCGAAAACTACTCTAAGTTTTGTCGATTTGCTTTGAGGTCTCAACACCCATTGGTATGGAATGAAGTAATGCGGTTCTTGAGGGATTTTATTATCTGTGGAACTCATGTGTCCAAGATCAAGATACTCCTTCATAAATGCTATGTACATTGCTTGATTTTCAGGTTGTTTAGCCATTCTTCTCTCTAAAGAAAGAAATCTGCGTTTGGCAGTGTCGAATGACAAGCCAAGGCGATTCGGGCTGGTTTTAAATGGCAATGATACACAAAGCCGACCATCAGACACTCGAGTAATGGTTTCCACAAACGAATTTTCACAAAGCTGCTGTTCTGGGGTGTAAAAACGAGGATTTGATGAGTTTGGAAGATCTTCCAACTCCCAGAACTTTCGAACGAAGGCATCTTAAGCCTGTGGGTCGCTAATAGTACTTATTAATGAAGTATTTGTTGGCATAATTTGGTGGTTTGATTTGCACCGGCCAGCAAAGATCCAACCCAACTCTGTTGCTCTCAACGGTGGCAGCCCTCGGCCACAATCTATTCTTCCATCTCTGAGCAGCTCAAAGAATGACTCAGCACCTAAGAGAATATCGATACGTTGAGGTTTATAAAAAAGAGGATCAGCTAAGTCCACATTCTTTGGATACTTTATGTTTTCTATTGGCCGATCTGGCTGAAACGAAGATATAGAAGACATAATGCCGAATTCGGTGAGAATCTCCTGATCGTTAAAACGAGAAGCAAACGATGTCTGTACCACATGTTTTATTTTTGATGTCAAGCTATCAAAACCGAGCAGATTGACCTCTTGCCTCTTTCTTTTAAGTTTAAGCATCTTGGCTAACTCTTCGGTCATAAGGTTAACCTGAGAACCTCCATCTAATAATGCT